CCTTGCTATCTGTCAAGATAGGTTAGGTTCTGCCATAGTAACAAGCAGGCCTATAGTCCCATTAGTTTGAGAAAGCAAAGGTTTTCTTTCTTAGCTCTGAGCGCATCGTGAGTTGACAAAGTTCTCTGTTCAGTGTGGTCACAAAGGGGCCCTGTTGATGGATCAACCACTATCATGAGGATTATAGTCCCCATCAAAGGAAAGAAAGATAACAGAGGATCTTGCACCAGAAAGTAAGTGCTCCGGCCCAGAAACTCCATGTCTTCTCTACTTATAACTTCTTGATTAGAAATATTCATTGACTGGGCACCCCTGGTGGCCTAGGGGTTGTCTCAGCATTATGAAGCTATTGGCAGCCACTGCAGCATGAGTTTGATCCCAGGCCAGCGAGCTACTCACATGGCACAGCAGACCTCTCCTGTCTCCCCACTGCTCCCCTCAGCAGTGGATTTCAGTAGATTCACCTGTTCTGCTCCCCACTCTGTCTCTGGGGAATCCTCTCCTCCAGCACCTCTGGCCTACACCCCAGTTCTTGAATGCATAAATAAATAAGTCAATCTTAAAAAAAAAAAGAAATATTCGTTGAGGAACATGCTGCTAACACAGAACACTACTTCACCAACAAAGACATATAATGTCGTTTCCTATGTGAGGAACTTGACCACAGTTCCAGAAAGTTGGGGAAGTCCTACAATAACACTCTTTATCAACAGATCATAATACTCACATTTAGATTATAATAGAAACCATGTGTGGCTACCTACAGGAATGTCTTCTCTCGGAGTGGCTTTGGGTAATGATAGTTTGGGAAATATGAGGACCCTGGACCAATATGACTTGCAAACTATATTAAATTTGAATGCTAAGCATTCATCTCTAATTTCCACACACTAGACACTGCCACTGACAAATGGCCATGGTCAGTAAAACACTGCATAGTCACTCAACGCCTCTCCAAACACAGTTGTTCAAATGCGCACAGAGAAATTACTGTCTTTTTATTGTAGACCTACTTTACTATGATTCTAGAGTACTATGATTTACAGCCATTACAGGCTAGCATAAAGAGCTAGTCTGAAAAATATTAATAAAAAGGGATTCAGAGTTAACTTTCTAAATTAAAATTAAAATGAATACGGCCATCATGAAAATAGAGGCTGTCTATTTAATAACATTGAATTTATAGTGATGAGACGGGCAGTTGATTTGACATTCCACAGTCCTATCTACAATACAATCACGGCAGCGGCTGCCACCAGGGAACTCTGAATGAGTTTCCTTTCAGTTCTCACACAGAACAAGAGGATCTTCTCTGCTTTAAATCTGCACTGCTTGCCTTTTCAAAAAAGGAAATTACTCCCAGCATACATCTTATTTTAGATTTATTCTAATTTGAGCTCACTCAATCCAGAAATCTCAAAGAATAGGACCAATTTCCATTTAGCCTCTGCTGAGTACTCTCTATAAGGAAGAGCTCACTATTTCCAAGCACAGGCCTCTGATATTTTAATTGCTCTCATTCTCCTGAAGCATGAAATTTTCTTCCTACTGGTCGACCTCAGTGCAGTAGCGGACGCCTCTCCAAGGCTTCACACTCCCTTCCTGCAGAGTTGACAAAGACTGGAAATTGATTCTCTTCTCTGAAATCATGTCTTTCTTCTGAGTAAATCTCCCTGGGTTTCTGGACGTTTCTTACAGCCTCCTCGTCTCTCTTGTCTCCTCAGAAGATTAATCTCCAACTTAAAGTGAGGCGCCTCCTTGTGGCCACAGCATCCCAGCCACGGGCTGACTGTCCCGCTCCAGACAGGCTTCTCTTGTAACTGAAGCTCAGAATTACATTTACTTAAAAATCAATCACCTCATAATGCTGGCCCTTATCAGAGTGTCCATCTACCAGCTCCTGGAGTCTCCCTACGACACAGGAGTCTGGCCATGTCCTACTTAGATGCTTTTATTTATTTATCTTTGTCTAAGTGCAGGAATTAAGTTTATCTCGATTATATTTCATCTCATTATTTTTATCCTATCTTTCTAGCCTGTCAAGATGCTTCTGAAGTGCTTTTTATCCTCCAGATAATGAAACCATCCCCTCAGCTCTGTGTCACATGGAAACTTAATAAACATTCTATTTGCGATTTATCCGCGGCATTGAGAGAAATGTTGAAAAAATACAAACCTTGGCAATTATATTTCTCTTCCTTGACCTAAAGATTTCTCGAGGGGTATTAAATCCATGACTGAAAACAGTCACATCAAGTGTGTGATGTCACTCAGTGCGTGGGTGATAAGAATGGACTTGACTGGGTCTGTGAAATCCCTCCTTTGTGACGAGCAGGGCTGGCCTCCCTCTCGAAGGACTAGGCAGCCTGACAGCCCATTCTAAAATCCTGCTAGTGGTGGGCTGGGTGCGATCACATTTTACTTCCAGAATAAGCTTCGTCCATTCCCTTTAGGACGAGCACACTTGCCCTCGAACGCCACCCTTTTCACCTGTCCTGCCCCACGTCGGGCCCTTCAAGAGCGACCAGCGAAGTCACAGCGTCCTGCAGCTCCGCCCCTTTGCCTTCCTTTACAGGGTCAGTTTCTGACCAGTCCCTACCCAGCTAAGCCCGGCGTGGGGCCTCCATCTCTCTGGGGTGAGAGCTCGGGGAGTTCAGCGGTGTCTGCCTGGAGTCCAGCCTGTCTTCCCCAGTGGACATTTACTCAGCTGGTGAACAGTCACTCGTGTCTGTCCCCCCTCCCAGGTCTAACCGCCTGCAGGGGAGGCAAATGGGACCCTATTTTACAACCAAGGGACTAGGCCCTGAGGTTCCAGTCAGGCCCAAGGAAGCGAAGTGACTGGGCAGAGCCTGGGAACGGCGCGCCCAGCCAGGGTGGGCAGGGAGCTGGCCGGTGGTCTCTAGGGAGTAGGCAGGACCCCAGGTACCCCGCCCTGTCCTTTGCAGACGCCAGGACGCCCCTCTTCTCCGCCCTGGGCTTCCTGACAGCTACAGGTGGCCTAGCCCGGCCCAGACTCGGGTCCATGTCCCTAGGCCCAGGCCACGCACCCTGGACGGCGTGGTCAGTCTCGAGGAAGTGGCTCTTGGGGCTGTTTGTCTGCAACTGTGCAGGCCCGCGCCGCGTCTGCAACTCTGCGGAGCGGGACTCAGCACTCACCCCACGTCCCACACAGCCCGACTCGGAGTTTCAGGAGGCCACGGAGTCCGCCTGTCAGGTTAAGTTCGTGAACGTCCCTCTAGGGACAGCCTAGTGCCATGGCATTAGGAGAATCAGCAGATTTGGGGGTAGCATTTGCCCTGATGGAATCACCAGGGCGCGAAGAAGCACTTGAGACTGTCAGTTACTTCTGGCTGAGCGAGACAGACATGCATGGGGGGGGGGCAGAAAAGGGGCCCTTCAGCGTTGGGGACACACCTCACGATTCCCCCAGGGTCTGACCCCCAGCAGCCAAGATTGGTGCTGACTGGTGGCTTTGGCTGCACCCCGACACTCAAGGCCACGGTGTTGATTTGCCAAGTTTTCTAACTGCTCTGTGCCTCAGTTTCCTTGCCTGTGAAATAGAGGTGATGACATTCTCGACCCCCTCATGGGATTTCTCTGGGGAGTATTGAGTGCACAGGCCTGTAGCAGGTCCTCCTACGTGTGTACCATTGTTTCTATCAGATGTTTGGTCACCTGTTACCATCTTGAGTCAAGGGCAAGCGGACAGCTTCCAGGGTCAGAATAGAATAGGAAAAGCCTTGCAGGAATAAGAAAGCTCCAGAGATAACAGCAACAAATTCCAAAAGGGACGAATCAAACACCCCAAGACTAGGGGCAACAGGACATTCTGGAACAAGGACGATAAAGAAAAGTGTGCTAAGATAAGGGCTGGGACACAGAGACTTAGTTCTGGGCACAGAGACATTAAGACAGTGAGTGAGACCACCGAGAACAAACCAATCACAGAGAGACTGACGGGGCTGGAGAATAACCAGGGAAAGAAGGTCTGTATTCCCTGAGGCACGACTCCACTGCAGCTTCCTCCCCGGGCCTGGGAGTCCTACTTTACTTCTGTTCCTTTTCTCTTTAATAAACCTTTCCTTTCTCTAAACAAACCTGCCTCTTCTCACATGCATGCTTGCCTGAGAGTCAGCGAAGTTCCTGTGGCAGCTTCATGAGACACCAGGCCCCTAGTGGCAGGGACTCAGTGCTGCCCCCGCAGCTGGGATCCGTCCTGACTGGGAGACTAGGCCTGAAGACCTGACATTTGGCATCCATCTGCCCTGACCCCAAGTGCCCTTCTCCTCAGCCTGTGCGGTACCCACCATCTTGCCATTTTCATTTTGGGTTCACAATATACCTTTTCATAGTAAAAAAAAAAAAAATTCAGTGGCTTTATGTTAACCCTTTACAAACACTTAACCAATCACATCTACAGTTGTAGACAGTAGATGACCAATCGCGACTACAATCTAGTCGGATCTACTGTGAAGATCAGGGTGGGCTGCCTCTTAACGTCCCAGCCCCCAGCAGGAGAGGCTGTCCTTCTAATTTGCAAATAACATCGGTGAGTGGAAGAGAGAATCATGTCAACATACTTAGGAAAGAAAAAGTTAAACATTGTCAATAGGGAGAAGCAGCTAACAAAGCATAAGCCAGTGCACACACTCGACACCAGGAGCCCAGAGCAGACACCTCAACTTCACTGAGTTTATGCCACACACCACAGTTGGTTCCGCTGCCATCCCTGACTGAGAAGCCCATCAATATCACAGCGTGTTTCAAAGGCAAATTAGTAGCATTAGAATATGCGATGGGAGCAATTTACCCTAAACATGATCTGATAAGGTGTGATCTCCTCCATCGGTGAGAAAAACAACACAACTTTCCTTGCACAGAGATTTTTCATCATGGAACCCAACGAGGGAAGTTTACCTGGTATTTTCAAAATCCAAATTCCTAATGTCATTTTTCTCCCAGCCACAGGAACATACATTGACTTCCCAAGCAGCACTTACCTATCACTTTTCCTAGAAAGAGCGACTTGGGAGAGTTGAAGAGTGTGTCTGACGAGCTTGGCAGGTGGTAGCTCACAGAAGGGTAATGGTCCAGCTGCGGGGAGAAAACAAGAGACACTTAGAGGAATGTCCTGCCTCGTGCTGGAACGGACGATTCCCTGGAGGATGACATCCCCCCTTCGAGTCCTGGTTTCCCGCTGGCTTCTGTCATCAGGGCTGGTTCCAGCCTGGGAAGAGGCGAGGTCCCCCTAGCCCGTGGCTGGGGTTATTTGAAGACAAGGTGAACTTGGTAGGTGAAGGCCCTTTGTGAATTGTCCTCCACCTTACACATATTTTCTGTGGGTAATTTACTTGCTTTGCTCATTTTAATAGAATAAAATCTGCTTGGTTCAATCTCTATTACTAACCGCAGATAGAAAATGCTGCATCGAGGGCAACACATTTTCTTTAGGATCTTTTTACTGTCCTGTTTCCTTCACCTTCTGCTATGTCAGCTTACAGAGCAATACTGAGCTTCAGAATGAAGGTGTGTGTATGTGCACGTGGGAATATACACATGGACACACATATACTGGGGTTGGGTAAATATAGTTTTCTTGCATATCAAATGAGGGTGGGTAATGTCTCCTTTCTGCCACCGGGCAGTGTGAACATATTGTAAAATTTTCTGGGGACACCCCACCCCCTAGTTTACCAGGCAAGAGAGCAAAGCCGGAATGGCTGGAACCGCTGGGCAAAATCTGATGCCTGCAGATAAAACCAGCCATTTTCCATGTCCGAGGGCATTCTTTGGCCAGGAAGAGAAGGAACCCTGCCTGGGCATCCTCCACATTAGTGTATCTTTAGTTTGGGACAGTCCAGGGCTGGAAGCCCCTCCTGTCAAGAATAATTACATCTTTAATGTCAAAGATTTGCAGTTCCCACCTGGAAAAATGAAATTCAAACTCGTGTTTATTGGCACAGCTCTGAGGGCTGCTTCCTGGGTTGCCATCCTCACTTTGAGGCTGCCATAAACTCTTAATCCCTCAATCGACACTTTCCGTCCAGGGGAGGGCAGGGACAGAGAACCCGGGGTTGCTTTGGGAGAGCTTGTTTTTTATTTTTGGCATGAAGGTGAGCTGGCAGGGGAGGGAGGAAAAAAGGAGCAGAGGGAAGGCGCTTCCAGAGAAGAGCCAGGAGCAGTGCATCTTCCGGGGACAGTCCCCTCCCACAAAGTGCCAACCAGAGAGCCGAACCCCAGCCTTGTCTGTCCTTTGTGTCCTTCCAAGTGTCCAGTGTGGCGCCCTGACTGTGGACTTGCAGGGTTTTCTGTGCTGCTTTCAGCCCACCTGTTCCGTAACCTGGGTTTTTCCGGAGTTGAGCAGCCGCTAAGGCAGGGGCGGGTGGGAAGACAGCAGGCAGGCAGAGCATTCCCACGGGAACTGCACACAGAGGCCCTCCCTTGGGCCTTGGCAGGCCCCACAAACAAGGCCCACCCCTGGGTCCTTGCTGCTCAGAGAGGGCGGCTCTGGGGCCCGGAGGGCACGGGAGGTCAGGAGCGAACTGACCTCGCTCACATGCTGAGAAGGAGCTGCTGTGGGGAATGATGATTTACCATTAACGATGACCTACACCTGGATCGCTAGGGTAGAAACCCAGGGCTACCTGTCCAGGCGCCCTGGCATCTCGGGAAGCTGGGGAGACCGGGCATTCTGGCAGTGCTGGGACAAAAATCCCCCAACACTGCTAAGCAAAACCCGGCAAGTTCGAATGTGATTTTGAAAAATCTTCTGTGATTTCAGGTGCACCATTAGCAAGACACGAATTCCGCTAGAAATGCTACAACTTTTAGAATCTCATACAATTATTTCTCTGGAGCAAAAGCTACTGTTTTTGCTGCTCAGTAGTAGCTGCTTTGGCGCCATCTAGTGGCGACTTTGAGGAACGACTGCTGCCTGCCTCCATTTGTTGTCCAAAGGCTCCTTGTAAACGCCCAGACACCTGGTCTGGGTGGTAATGGACATTTTTTACGTATGTTCTTTTGATATTTTTTACAAAAATTGAATGGAAGCCAACTACATAAATTACTGTAGCTTACTTTTCATCACCTAAAACTGTATTTTGAAACTCTGTGGCAACAAATACACAATTAAATCATCATGTGTCATAAGGGCCAGTGTATATATAGTACACGGTCTTTAAAAATATCAAATTTCTATATTTAGACTTTCAGATTTCTGTGTCTTTGAGCCCAGTACAGTGCTGAGCACATAGTAGGACCTCAATAAAAACATGGGGACATTTGCTGTTGCAACTCTTAAAGCAGCAGGCAGGGAAGGAAGTCAGCCTTGAGATGGGGTCCCCTGCACACAGTGGGCCTTCATGGCACTCAGTGGGCCTCTCTTTCCTTAATTCTTGTGTGATCTAGCCAGACAAGATGGGGCTTTTAGGAGTGAGCGCACAGTGAGTAAAACTCATTGTTTGTTTGATAGATTACTTTAGACTCTTCCTGTCCCTCTCGCTCTCTAGTTAATGACTTGAAACAAAGGTTGAATTTTACATTTATTGATATTAAACTTTATTTCCTTTGTTTCAAAACCTCACAACAGCCTCCTCAAACAGTTCTGAATTTTTTTTTTTTTAAAGATTTCAAAGATGCCCCATTTTATTAGCGAGAGGATACAAATCCCTTTCTACATAAGGAAAAGTATTATTCCCTATTCTAGAGTGATAGATGTGTCACTTCTATAGCTGACAGTTTTCTCTTCTACCGGTACTTTCCATGTCGGTTAAAATGTTTGTAAAGACAGTTGATGCGCTTGTTAAGGTTGTGCAGGTCATCAATAAACATTCGATTCCCAACCATTCTTTTCTTTCGGATACAACGCTGCAATTCATTCCCCTTCCAGCCTCGAAGCCATCTGGGACCTCTGATCAGTTCTTTGGGCTTTTCAAAGTTTCCTCTGTCATCTAATAACTCTCCGTGACCCTGCCTGGCTGATGTATCTATAAATGTCACAAACACTCCTAAGTCTTTATTCATTGATTTAAAAATGGTGACCGTGGATCTAAATAGACACTGATCTATAATTCTCATCCAAATCACTTGTTTAGCTAAGAAAACCCCTAGTAACACTTAGAATGGAAAATATGACAAAGGCTTCTGAAGAGGGGAAGGTCTTTTACATCCATGAGGCTGGAACCCCAGAGTGAATTAAAGAAAGGAGGGACGGAGAACTGGTCGAGTCCTCCTCACTGGTACGGGGGACACCCCAGGCTTCTCTCTCCCCTGCCCTTGCACCCTCCCTGCTGTCTGCTTTGCTCCCAGGCAGGAGGATTTAGCTGGGATTTGGGGAAAGGCTGGGCTGAGGAGCAGAGGGGGGTGGGAAACAGGAACAGCTTTGGGACCGCGCAGGTGTAACTAGGTGTAGGGTCCAGGGGCCCCCAGCAGCAATGCAGAAGCTGAAAACAGCCAGAGGACGCCCCGGGGCCTGTCGCGCCCTGCTGGGGCCTGTCCGCCCTCCTGGCCTCCAGCCCGCCGCCTCCTCCCGGCCCGTCCCGGGCCAACGCGAGCTCCCGCCGTGGCTTGCCCAGCAGAGGGCGCCGGGGCCGGCCTGAGAGGAGCTTCTAGAAGCTTCCGAGGGAGGCCCCCGGCAGGTCGGGGAGCTTCGCCCAGGGGGTGAGGGAATGGGGGGGCCCTGCCCGACCACGGCCCGGCCCCCCGCTCGGTGCCCGCGCGGCCTGGTGACGCGCTCTCTGCCAACGCGGCCCCCCTGAGGCGCCCCCCGCGCCCTGACCCGGTGCCTGTTCAGTCAGGACACACCCGTGGGCGCCCTGTGGCCCTGCCCGCCCCCCCCTTCCTGAGTGGCCCCGGGGCCGGGGCTGCCGGGCTCCCCGGAGGCTGACAACACCGTTGCCCAAAGGGCTGGAGCCTCCGTCTGTCCTTCTGGGGGTGCTCTCCCCTGTCGTGGGGCGCCTCCAGGACACTCGACGGGGCGGCCTTATATCTTAGGGTTCTCTTTATCCGAGATGCCGACATCAGCACCCCGTGTTCCACCACGTGTGGCTTCATCTCGGACGGGCCGGGCCGCTCCCGGGACCAGGAGGAGGCACGCGGAGGGGGGTGGGGGGCGTTGGCGCCCCTCAACCCCCCTCGTCCAGCAGCGCCCGCTCCGCCCGGGCGTGACAGGCCGCGGGTCCCGGGGGTCCAGCCCCCGGCAGGCCAGGAAAGGCCTAGGCAGGCAGCCGGGTTCAGAGGGGCCTTGAAGATGGGGCTGGGGGGGCGTGTGTCTGGGGCCAGAGCAGACGAGGAAGCGGCGCGGGGAGCCCTGAGCCCCCAGACCCTGCTGGGGGAGCGGCCTTGGACGACTAACCAGGGGGTCGCTCCTTCCCAGAAACACTCTGGGCCGGACAACCAGGGGCTCTCGCGCCGCCTCTCCCGCCGGACGGGGGCGCCGCGGCCCTTCCGGGGTGGCCGCGCCCCTCGGGTCCCGCCTCGAGCGCCGGGGCGCCCACGGCCCCGCGGCCGCAGCCCGCGCTCCGCAGCCGGCGCGGGAATGGCCGAACTCCCCTGCGGCCTGTGTTTTCTGTCAGAAACGCCTCCGTGAAGGAACAGCTGCCTCAGCGCAGCCCTTGGTGAGCACAGGCGGCGTCCGCGGCCGTCGGCTTCCCGCGGCCCAGCGCCGCCTCCTGGACGCCCGCGGGCGCTGCTGCCGCGACGCAACGGCCCGAACCCCAAACGCCGCCTCTGAGGAACGGGCCGGACAGGGCTGGGGACCGCGGGTCTGTGTGTGACTAGACGTGAGGAGCCAGAGGGCGACTCTAAAGCTTTGAGCATCAACAGCGACCATCACCACCCTCAGCACCTGCCCTGGGCTATGTTCTCCTTGGAATTCCAGCCTCAGGGTGGCTCCAGTCTTTATAGACTTTCATGTTGCAAATCACCTCGATAACCACAGGATTTCAACCGGGGGTTTAAATAATAATTTACACAGTAATCATCAGCTCCGCCATTTCATAAGCCACACGTTCTCTGAAGAGTTTACGGCAAAACATTTTGGCAAAATGACTTTCCAAGGGTAACACAGAAAAAAAAATATAGGTGGAAAAAGGGAG